TATTAAATTGAGGATTCTCTTTAATATTAAATGGTAATACAGGTGATTTTCCGACTTCGAGTCAAAAAGGATATTGATCTAATCTCCATAGGAGTTTGCACACACAAAGGTGAAAAGTAAGTGAAAATCCATTTGCAACTACGATGCAAGAACCTAGTATATGTGACACAGCAATGTTGAAATATCTACATAACTTTGATAAGAGGCTTATAGCACATCATATGGTGGTTACGATCATTGAGTATGAGGTTGCGTAACCTATTGACACCGATTTTTATTAAATACGTCATTTATGAGTATTTTCATATGCATGCACGACATGTAACATGGTTGAAAATCCTGCATGCAAAATATGATTTCAAAGTGAGTTTCATTATAAATGTTTTATTGACCACTACTAGGGCACCGAGATATGTGAGGCATGCTTATATGATATGTTTGGCATTGCGGGTGTTACTTCCTGGGTGATTGCAAAGGTCGATAGGGGATGGGCCTTTGGTGATCACGGGAGGGCGGACCACTCGACTATGCCCTTGTGATATTATGATTATTGGCGCTGCCGGGTGGGAGACTTCTTGGGTGATCATAGGGGTAGTCAGGGGATGGGCCTCTAGTGGTCATGAGAGGATGGTCCACTTGTCGGTGTCGATTTCATACTGGTCATTTGATTATTGATATTGATATTATGCAGAGCTTTATCCGGTGCATAGTAGGTAGGTCAAGGGTCCAATGAAATGAAAGATTTCAAGTGAAATGATTTCTAGTCGACTTTGACGAATATTGAAATATGATACTTTTTATTGTGATATTTAAAGTAAATGGCATGGTGTCATATGTCGTTATTACGTTCAGGACATGCATGATTTTGCTTACTAAGCATTGGCTTATGTAGTTCTTGCATTGTAGGTGAACATGGAACTACATAGAGAGCATGGCTAGCTGTGGAGCTCCTACAGGATTCCAGAGTTCGATGTACATGGATGACGACCTGTAGGGTTATTTTGTAGGCTGCCATCTGTTGGGTTATATTTTGGAATCCTATACAGTGTACTTTTGAAATGGTCTGTAGACATGTTTATAAGCTCAGAATATAGATGTTGGATTATGGCGATATGATTTTGGGTTTCGATATGTTATATGATCATGTCACAGGTGATTAGAAGTTAACAAACTCGAGAAAAAAATATATGTAAAATTCTATATCTAAGTTGTGTATAGATATCAGTGTTAATTTGGGGGTGTGACAGTCGATGACTGGGGTTAGATTCAAAAAGACGGTTGATGTTGCTTCAGATTGTGTAACAAAGGCTATAAACGCTGTACCTATGGTTACTGTCTCCCTTGATGCTCCGCCGATTGATGATGCCATCCTCCCCGAACCGTTGAAGATTGCTGATCCCTCGTACATAGACCTCGATCGTTGAGACTGAAGATGCCTAGTGCAAACACTAAGACACCATTCACACGATTTGGTCGCAAGAGAGGTAAGAAGGATGTGTAGTAAGTGTACACTGCAATTCTGGTATTTTTGTTCATGGTACGGATTGACTGTCCGACATTTTGTGGATGCAAATTTGTGGTTTATATGTTAGTGGCATGTTCGAAAGGTTGTATGCTGAAAATAGTTTATAACTTTATTATTTCCTATAGTGGATTTGTATTATGCACCAGTAAATATTTAGACTATTTGGCGTTGCAAAGAACATTCGTTTTTTCAGTCAGAAAACATTATAGACTGCATTTGGTTGTAATGAGTTCGGTTACTGTTTAATATCTTAGTATCTTCGTTCTGATTGTGTATCCTCAGCTACTGTGAAACAATAACCGTTTCCACATGGTTGTTCATGGTTTGTAAATATTCTTGATGGAGATTCACATGTTGGTAGAGAGCGAAAATGTTTTACTGGCATGTTTTATTCGATTAGGTGATCGTTGATTAGATTTCACAAAAAGATTGTCATGTATCGTATTCATTGCTGTATTTTGTTCTTTTCATAGTTGAACTGTCATTTTAGACAAATGAAATATCAAGTGTCGAGAAATGCAGACGTTTATCAAGAACTACATGTCAAATGTTAAGATTCCAATGAAATGTCGAGAAATAATATACTTCGGTTGAAATATCATTCTATACAAATGTAATGTCAAGTGTCAAGATTGACAGACATTTAATGTTGAGAACTACACGTCAAATGTCAAAAAATGAATGAAATGTCGAGAAATATCTTGTTTCAATATAAATGTTAAGGCTACACATATTTTTGTAGAACATAAAAATTTGCTATTCATTAATTCAATTAATTTCAATAACATGTGAACATGTATGTGAAATTAAATTAAAGAATTAAAAGAAAATATAAATTATGTATTTTAAAGCCCTTACCAATGACAACAGAAGAAAAAATCTTTCATTCTTTATCTTACTCAAACCCTTGTCGAGATGCAAGAAAAAATTGATTAACTCGGTTAGCTTTAATAAATTAAAAAAAATGTGTCAAACCTTTTTTTTATTGGTACATGTAAAATTTTATAGATAAAAACTTCAGTAGAAGTCACTAGACAAGATAAATAGAGATTCATATAAACATTAATAAAGTTTGAACTAAAAAAATATTATTTATATCACAAAACCAAAAGAATTAAAAAGATTTTTAAATCGAATAAAAAACTATTTACAATATGAAGGAAAAAGAAACTTTAAAACAATTTTTAAAAAAAATAATAAATTAACCAAAAGAAAGTTACGAAAATTAAATAAAGAACATATAAATAATATTTAATTAAAATTGAAAAAAATAAGTTTATCATAAAGAAAAAAGAATAAAAAATTATAAATCGAAACAAAATTTATTTTTGATATAAACAAAAATAAACAAATAAGAAATGGAGTGATGGAGAGAAACCTCTCAATAACATGTAAGCTTTCTCTCCATAATACGGAGAGAATCTCTTTATATTATAGAGATGATTTTTTCTCCTTCAATTTTAATTTTTTTTATTCGTTTTGTTTGTATGATAATTTTTTTGGATTTAAAATTTTTTAATTCTTTTCTCTTTATGATAAAACTTAAGTGATTGTTCTCTTTGTATTTCAGTTTTTCAATTTTGAGTTTTGTATTTTGAGTGCCTGTTTTGAAATTGTTGAAAATATGTTATTTTTGTCATTTTGAAAAATTCTCTAAACATAAAATTAAAAAACGCGTTTACTTTGAAATTTTGAAAATATTTTATAAAATATTTTATTCAATAGATTTGATTATTCATTAAATTTTAATAGTGTAATGTTAATATAGTATTAAATAACATTTAAATTTTAAAGTTAGTAAAAAAAAAATGAATTTCTTTGTATCTCCATCATACGGAGTTGTCCGTGTGACGAAGGGAAACTCTCCTCACACGGAGAATTTAATTTCTTTCCTTTATTTCCTTTTGTTTTTAATTTGGGTTGTTACTCGCATTTTCAATGTTTCCCATGTTTTGCACTGAAAATGCTCAAAATGTCAAATATGACGTTTACAATTTTCTATGTTTTTTTTTTTTCAAACGTTCATTTTCGAAAATGAGAAAAAGAATACGTTTTCACTATTTTGAAAAATCGAAAACAGGAAAACGGCATGAAAATAGCAAATAGAACTAATTTTTTCAATTTTAATTAAACAATATTTATATATTCTTTATTTAATTTTCTTAACTTTCTTTTATTTAATTTGTTTTGTTTTTATTATATTTTTTTAAATGTCAAGAAATGTCTGAAATGTACAGAACTCTAGGACACAAAATGAAATCTCGATAATAAATATATAAATTGTCAACTGTCGAGTTATTTAGTTTATAAACATCGATAACGACATTTCAAATGTCGAGAACAATATGAAATGTCAAGAAATATATGGAATATCGAGATACACACGGTCAAAATGTGGGGAGTTGGTTTGAGTTTTTCTAATGCAATTACACCTCTAACTATGCTTTACACCTCATATTCAATATCACGTTAAACAACAATTGATTTTGTTCGGTTGTCTAACTAGTTCCACTCGTTGTCAATGCTGACGAATGTACCATCGTAGGAGACAACGAATCTTATAACATCAACCATATCTACATGCCACAAACAACAAATAGTATCAACTAATGACGAATACCTCAAACGAATATGCTAATTATCCGCAGGCAATATACAAAAAAATGTTCCATAATTTCATCACGGTACTTGTAATGTTACTCTCGACATTATCAAATGTCGAGAATGGCGTTAAAAGTAACATTCTCGACGTTTATAATTGTCGAGAACAATATTTCAAGTACCATTCTCGACGTCTGTAAAATGTCAAGAGTGACATGATGGATTCCACTTCACCATAGTCATTTATCATCTTCTTCATCGTCAACCACCATTTTTGTAAAGAATTTAAATTTATGCCATCATTAATGACATTTTAACTACAAAAGTACCTTAAATTATTATCCAACTAAGTAATGTAAAAAGGTTATGACAAATATCTACTACATTGAAAACAAATATATAACAACAACTACTACACACCACTTCTCAATAAACATCAAATATCAAAGGAAAATACCTTCTATCCAAAAATGAGGAGAGCCTAGTCAACTTCAAATTTCGATGACATTAAATTTATAGACATGAAAATATTATTTCTTCTTTTTGAGTAGAAATCATAGATTTCTTTTGGCTGTCAATGCTTGTCATTTCACGTTCTTCAATTTTCCTAAAGTAATTTGTTAATATCTAAAGAAAAATGCAGGCAAGTCGACAAGTATAAGTAATGGCAACAATTATTGTGGCTTCTCATGGAAGCCATTACTCTTCTCGAGATCGGGGTCAACTTGCAAAAGAAAAGTTGAGAATTATTTATTCTTTTATTAAGGGTAAAATAGGGAAGAGGAAATTTCATCAAATGTCCATTTTTATCTAGTCATTTGCAAAAATGTCAAATTTGAAAAAATTTAGACCAAAATACCCTTATTAACAATTTTTAATTCCACATTAAGGAAGCTTTATCCTTCTTTTTCTTCTTCTTTGCGTTTTTGGATTCTGCAGAGACGCTATCTTTCTTTCCTGCTTCTCCATTTAACTGTCCCTCTCTCTTTTCTTTTGTAGCATCTGCAAGTTTGTGAAGAAGTGAGGTTTAGCGGGAAAGTTTATTGTATTCTCGACAATATAGTCTCACCAATAACTGCAAGTTTTACTAAAAAGGACCAATAGAGAGAATGGATTCATGAGAGTTCACATTGATGTCTCGACAAGATGTAAAATCACCCCAGAAAACAATGAAATCAAGCCACAAGGAGCAGACATGAAGACAGCCAAAAAAAAAAAAAAAAACGATATCAACTGACACATACAAGAACCTCAGAGATGTTAAATAATAATTATCAAAAAGCATATTTATGAAGAAGAAATCCTAAAATAAAGCTGTTCTCTAGAAAAAGAAAAATAAATGATTTCCGTGAAGACAAGGAGATACACAATTACCATATGATTCATCTAGGGCTTTCTCGCTTGGGGTAACACCAAAATTAGCCAAAATTGCCTCCAGTTCGGCCATCTCCTTTTTCTTTCTCTCCTTCTTGGATAGCTGCCTCTCTGTCTCTTTAGGTGCTGGTGAAGCTACTGGAGGCTCTATCGGTACTAGCTCGGGCTTTTCCTGCACTTGCGATTCACGTTCGTGCTCCTCCTCCTCCTCCACATCATCAGCTTCATCAAGAAGATCATCTTCACTTTCAATTTCCTGCAATTCCAACAGATTGTTGTATTAAGTTACATAATTTATCTTAATCACATTCATCACTTCAAAATTCATGCATGACCAGAAATCTAGCTAGGCAATACATTGAAAACAAGGGATCTCTGATTTGCAAATGATGTCATCTTCTGGGATTTCATCTTACCAGAGGAAAAGGATTTTGGCAAGAGGATGAATGGCATATCTACCAGGTATAAGAAAAAAGATAACACTATGCTTTGCTCTGCTGTTGTTCACAAAAGTGAGAAAATCTCCGTAAAACATGTTAGAAGAGGGAGGAGTAAACCAACTAACATGGTTTGGTGTGGTTGCTAAACAACTAGTTGCTTTAGATCTTCCACTAGATTTAGCAATGAAATGAACATAGTGGCGAAACAGGATTGACTAAGCTTTGGTTAGGTGTGACCGTGATGGCAAAGGAAAATATCGTTGCAAGTGAGAAAACTGGTTGAGGAGATCTAATGCTTTGATTAAAGAAGTGGAAATGAGGCATGAATTTAAGTCATTTAAATAAAAAGATGATAAACTTGAGAAAGATAGACGATAGCAGCTGCAAATTTGGTGTCTCATCTATGATCTCTTTACTTAGAATTGTTAATAAACACAAATGAAGAAAACAGCCACACGCACGCGCGCGCGCACACACACACAGGCACGACAAAAGGTTTAGAGTCGAGAAATTTCAGGTGTGTAGTTCGGAAATGAGGATTCTGCAAGTAAGGTTACAAATGTTACACTAACAATGTATTTCCCTATGTATTATTCTTCAGTAATCTAAAAACTGAACATCTTTTTAGCCTCAAACTTCATTTCAAATGGTATATTAGCCATTTAATGAAACGATTTGATGTTACTCACCAAAAATATTGAATTGCGCAATAACATCTTTTTAAAGGGCACATGACACATTTAAAGAAAAAGTCTCATTCTATCAGCCAATAAAAATGCCTTCCCGTTTAGACGCTTGAGCCAAAAAATAAACTAACAGCTTCCTTACACTTCAAAAAAGAGCTATTTCCAAAAGCTACATCAAATACCCCAAGAACACTAAATAAATATATAGGTTCAAACTTGATCGCTAATCATGGACAGAGGATATGAAATCTAACGGAAAAAGAATGGACACTATCATTTCGATAGCTTACAGCTTAATCAACTGGTATTGGATGTATCAAGATTGAAGGTATAAATTACTTGCCATAGGAAAAACAGTAAGAATCACCAATCCTCATTTATTAGATTATTTTTTTCCAAATTAAAAGCTGTGATCTTGTCTCTTCATAAAACATGAAAGAGTATATACAGGCGACCTTTAATTCACGTCAAAAAGGTTTCCTAATTTTTACATACACCCTCAATATTTTCACGTGTCGTCTGTAAATCTTTCTTAAGCACCACCACCAGACGACCACGTATGAAATGATTAAATCACAACATGATTATCGAATAAACATTCCTATTGTGCATAATATATTATCTTCAGTATAAATAAACTGCATAAGTTTCATTGACTATGCAACAAAGGAAACACAAGTTCAAAAGGGTAATACAGCAATACCAATCATAGCTCCTAGTATAAATAAACACGTAAACAACAAAGCAACACACAATTAAAACCAAAACTTAACCGGATTTGTTTAGAACTAGTATCCACCAGCTATAAAAATGGGGCAAATCTCAATCAATAATTACAAAACAAATATTATAAACATCAGTCTATATATTTACCTCTGTGGGATCTGGTTGTGTAGTTTCTTCAGTTTGATTCAAACCGGAACCTCCCCATACAGACTGGGGTGGGGCAGCCGTGGCATAGTAATCATCGTCATCTTCATCGTCCACATCAGCCCAAGACTTCACAGTCAAAGGTGCAGGAGACCAGTACACCTGTGGCTTCTCTTCAGGTTCTTTCGATTTTCCAGCCCCAGTTTTCAAAGCGCTCTTACTGCTCTTCCCCGAGCCCTTATCCTTATCTGACTTTTTCTTCTTCCTGAAATTGTCAAGCGCCGCAAAAACGTTATCATTAGTCATCTTAAACGATCCCTCGTCCCTCCGGTTCCCACCTCCAACCATTTTCTAATTCTTCAACTGGGGCAAGGAAATTGACGATTTTTCAATGAAGTCTTAAAATTTCTCGGACTTATCTATCCGATTCGCATTCCGGGAATCCCAAATACTTAGAAATCCAAAAGAGTAAACAAGAGAAACTACAAATCAAAACACAGGACGAAAATAAAAAGATAAAAAATCCAACTAAATCGACTCAGAACCCAATTTCTATGTAACTTAATCTTATGCGGAACGAATATCAAATATCAATAACACCCAGTTATTCAAAAAAAATTGATTATTTTATGAGGGATCGACAAATTATGAATCGATAAACACAACTAGAATTACTAGAAAACTTGGGTTTCTTGAGAGAGAGAGGATTTTTTCAGAATAAGAGGCTAGGTGATAATGCGAATTAAAAATAAAAAATAAAAAAAATAACGACGAAGACGTTTCCGAGCATAAAGAAGGCCTGTGTATATTTTCAGAATGAGAGCGAGCGAGATACGTTAGATTATTCTAAAGAAGGAGGTGGACGATAAAGATAACGTTTATATTGTGGGGTTTTATCCTTAAAATTTTGTTCGTGTTTATTACAATTTCAGCTCAAAAGTGTAGGTGAACCGGACTGAGTTGTTAGATAATTTAATTCTAATTATAGCAAGATTGAATTTTCGACTGCTCGATACGGATTTTTTAGAATATATTTTAAAAAATAGTTTTTTTGAAAAGAAAGTGTAATTAAAAGATAGAGAATGTTACGAGAGCCTGTTTGGTATAAATTCTTTAACACTCCTTTTTTCACAAATTTATTTTTAGTCGCACATTCTTAGATTTTCTCAATAAAATAATGAGGAAATTTTATTGGGTTTCAAAATTTGACTGAGCATTATCAAAAATGTCTCATTTCAATTTTATATCAGAAATGTCAATTTATGACATTTTTTATCCTATGAATTACTTGAATACCTTATATGTCTTTGTACAAAACCTGTGTATTGTGTCATAATGAAATGACAATTTGTCATAATGAAATGACAGCATAGCTCTGAAATCGCTTACCATTGAACTGTCGTTCTTGACAGTTAGTATCAGTAATTCTCGACAGATGGACTCATCGACAGATGAACTATTGGGAACGACAGTTCCTTCCTTTACCTAAGTTCAATTCCACAATTTGAACTTTGATTCCAACATTGCACGTGTGTTTCACATTAACATGTATGAAATGCTATGATCTCATGATTTGTTGATTGATTAATCATTGTTTATACTTGATTGATGCATTCATTTTTTGTGTTCCAGTTTCAGTGGTTTGTTTCGCATTTTTTGTTCATTATGCTTGATTGATGAATTCATCTTCATCTTTAAATGTCATTTTGACTGCCCGCATGAAGCGGGTAGAGATCTATGTGTACGAAGATGATTATGACAAATTGTGTTCATCAATTAACTTTCATGATAACTTTGATCAGATTCATGTTATTACTGCTTATTTATCTATAATGTATGACTGCTTTTCACATTACTCGGGTCACAGGAGAAACAATGAATTTATATGAGATACACAATAGTTGTTCATCGTTTGACGTTGTTGAATGAAGTCAGAATATTTGTTAATGCTAGTCTTATTCTTCACATTTCTATGTTTGACAGTTTAATCACCGACACGTACTTCAACTTCGGTTTGGTAAGTATGATTCAAATGCAGATGAAAGCCGAGTTGGTAAGATTGCTACCACTTAATATTTGCATAAATCTTTTTGGTATCTTTTCTCTTCAAAAATATTTCAAAAATGAAGAGCATCATGATTTATAGTAGTTTCAAAAGCATTCTTCAATTTGATAATCATGTTTTTTTATCATTTAAAAAATAGTAAGTTATTCGATAAAAATAAAAATAATTCGCAATAACTAACATCTCAAAATGGATGATAAATCTAATAGTAATATCTTCTTGATCAAGGAATGAAGAAAATGGATGAAGTGAAGGTTTGTTGAAGAATATATTTGTTTGATGTTAAGTAGATTTTTTATTTCTTTTATCTTTTTTTTAAAAAAATTAAATTCATATTATACAATAGAATATATATATATATATATCCAATGATTATAATATATAAATTTAACTAATCAAATCATAACAATAATTGAATTGGAACATAGCATAAAATGCTCCTAAAAAGGAGATACGAAAGATAAGTTGGACATTTTACACAAAAAAGTGACATTTTTTATAAAATTAGGTGCACGTGCAAATTTTTTGTGCATTTAAAAAAAAAAGTGACATTTTTTGATAATTTCCCTAAAATAATTTTACATGTGAATTTGTAACATTTTATTTATTTATTTAACCTCACATCTCACAAAAAATTGCTTTCAATTGTGGTTGAACGAAGGACAAATATATGACTAATATTTTGTATCTAATTTGGATGTTCAATGAGCATATAGAAATGTCTCATGGGGTACTTAATATTGTACTTCGTGAAATTGAATTTGCAACTTTTTTTTTTTCCCCAAAAGAATAGTAGTCTCAGTTTGGTGAACTTTAAATCAATTTATAAATATTCAAACCTCATTTTCAGCCAAATATTCCAATTGATCCACAACTGTCATCCGCTTATGCATCAATCATTTCTATTTATTGATAACTTAAACCGTTTTTAGTTATTTCCAAACAGAGACTTGGTATTGGGCTATCCAACATTATAAAATGATGTGGTTGCGAATCTCCAACTGTTGATGCCAGATTTTTTTATCCTCAAGATATTTAAATCTATGAATGGTCTTCACGTGATCAAAATGGTTTATGTGGATTTTAAGATTTCCTACGATTTTAAACTATAAGGCAAAATCGTCAAACCACTTAACATTTCTCTTAAATTTAATTAAAAGTTGTAGTGATTCTTATTGTTCGTGTTGGTTCACATGTTATTTGTAGAGGCAATAAATGTCGTTAGTGTTGGTTCACATGTTTAAAAGGACTAGTCATAGTGAATGTGCGTTACACGTTATTTTAGAATTTTAATATTGCGAAAAAATGCTACAGTCGAATCAAAACTAATTTGTGACTATATTACTTATATGTCATATTCCATATTTACATAAAATTCATAACGAATCAATTGAAAATAAAATACCATTAAATAATTTAGAAAAAATTAAACTTCATTTTCATCCATGTCTCTAGGCTAAGGGTGGTGTGAAGTTTGTAAAAGTTGGTGGAACCCATAAAATGTGCAATGAAAAGTGAAAAAAGGTAGAGGATCCAATGAAATGTTTTGATATGGACTAATTCCGGATGGTAATATATTTTGGATCCAACACAACTTCTCAAGATAAAGCATCCAACTTTGCCTACCGGTTGCAGATCGTATATTTTAATCATCTTAAAAACAATGTCCCACTATCCTCGACCCTTAACGTATACAATCTATAACATCTATTAGGATCACGAATACTTCGATTATCTGCTCATGGCAATAAATCAAATGTTGATTATGTATTACTCTAATGGGTATTGAACAAACGTCAATGTCTACAACTATAATTTTATAAGTATCAACATCATATGATAAAGGGCAGCCATTTAATTTTTATGTTAAAAAAATCTATAGCTCAAGGGCGGTGTGAAATTGTTAAAAGTTGGTAAAACCCATAAATTTTGTGGTGAAAAGGGCAGAGGATCCAATGAAATGTTTTGATATGGACTAATTCCGAATAGTAATATGTTTTGGATCCAATACAATTTATAAAGATAAAGCATCAAACTTTACCTACCGATTGCAGGCTATATATCTTATCACCTTAAAAACCATGTCCCACTATCCTCGACCCTTTATGTATACAATCTACAACTCTATTGGGATCGTGAAGACTTATATTATCTACTCATGGCAAAAATTTAAAGTGTTTATTTTGTAATGCTTTAATGGGTATAGAACAAACGTCAATTTCTATAATTATAAATTTATCAGTGGTAACATCATACGATACAGGGCATCCATTTTTTTATATATATAAAAAAAAATTTATAGGATTTTTTTTTAATATTAATCTCG